AAATATCACGCGTCGAATCAGAGGGTCATTGTCACACAATGCCTTCTTACACAAGCTACTCGGGCCTAAGTGCTTCGAGAGCTTCAAACAATTTGCGCAGGATACCATTTGTTTTGGGTATTCTCCTGTGCATCCATCTCCTACTCTCAGTGGAGATCGAATATAACTCGTCAGGAAACTAAACCTGACAAAATGGAAATCGAGGCGAGGAGTATTGCTTCCCATTCTAAATTATTTGCAATTTATCTTTTTCTTTTGTCAGTTTTGGGAAAAGGAATTCGCGTCGGCGCATATTTTTAACTGTCAAACATCTGATGGTTTGGAACCTACTGAATATGATAATGAGAATAATTGGATAGTGGGATGACACATCTTGTCGGATTAACTAACTCGAGCTTTGATATCTCACCAGGGATATGGTGATCAGGATGACTAGGATGTTCAGGATAGTCAAAGCTCCAACTTGAGATCTTTTGATCTTCAACACATGTAATATATTTCATATGTAATTTTGGGAAACGAGGAGAAGATAGTCTCTCCTCAAGATAGTTTCAGATGGGTATATAGCATCGCTGCTGGAGAGGAGTTGAGGAGCAGAGATTTCATCAATACAACTTTACTTTACATTTTTCATTTTACCCTCAGTGTCTAACATTAACTTACTGCTGGTTTTGTAGTGGTTCATGCGGTGGAATCAAGCTAGGTATGTCTTAGATGTAGTTCTGGCTGTAAACATCGGTCCTATACTCAGTGGATTTGGAGCTTTAGCTTAGGACTTGAATAAAACAACAACAACAACACACGGAGGGCAACTTCGCTGGTGGTCCTGCTCGGACCTCGAGACTGGTAGATCTTCAGAGACTAAGTCCAGGAGAGTGGAATATACGCGGTGGAGGGCAAGACTAAACAACTGTACGTGGTGTCCTCTACGAACCTGGGAGTGAAATATTCTCCCAAAGCCAAGTTCAGTCAAATATCGCAACACTCAAGAAGTTGGCCCACAAGGCAACGATTCAATTTACTCCACTACGTCAAATTTTCACTCCCAAATAGTATGACTCCTGCCTTAGTCTCATCAAGTCTACAAGCACGACCAAGTACATCCTCATCCCAATGACCACACCACTCTTCGACCTTCTCTGGCCTCAGCCGGTCACCAAATACACGCCCACGCCGATATTTACACCCGACGGAGGAAGCAAAGTGTGGCGTACAAATCTGAGAGACAGTTCTTTGGGAAGGACGTGAGAGGAATCAGGACAAGCTGACAAAATGATACAAAGTCAAGACATAACCTCGAAGGGCGAGAAACACTGAAATTTGGCAAGGGGTTTTACAAATTGGGCTTTTGTGTGCGCCAAGACTTCGCTTACGAGAGTGCAGCTGACACTACAACCACAAGTCAACGACGGAATGTGTTGTGATCCGCCTCCTGGTGATGTTCTCCGGTATAGTTTGAGTAGCCTGGGCCCCTACTTCACTTGGGAAGGAGACATTTCTGATTACATTTCGCGCGGAGAAAAGTTGATGGATGACGGAGGCATGTCTGGATAACTTAAGGTTTTTGAGACGTTCCCCTGGGTGGATATTCACGGATGAGGGTTGACTTGGGGTGAAGAAAAAGCCGCCATAACTTCGTAGTGGTACTTGCAAAAAAAATCAGAGGCATGAGTGCTCTTCCTCTATATTGAGTCATGTATTATGTGCTTTTCTCCGATGTTGTGTCATAGTTATATAGCTACATACGCAGTTAAAATCTGTTGCAAAAAAAAGAAGAGATCTCTCCATGAACTATCTTAGCTGTTCCACCGCAAGTGTAAAATTCCAAATCATATACTAATCATAATAGTCTCGCATGGCTTAGACGTAATTTATCGACATCAAAAAAGTCCTCAGAAAATGACAGTCTTATTGCATTGTGCAATTAGGTAGATGTAATTTGAAAGGTGAAAAGTTAAGATCATATTACTGCTACTCACTTCCCTGTTTTCAATTCCTGTTACCTATACTCGTTCAAGTGCAAAATCAACTGAAGGGCGTATTAAAAAGTTAAGACCTGGTGCATTCTAATTGCCATAATAAGTCCTAGGAAAGGTTCTGTAGCCACAACTATTGAAGAGAATTAGCGATGCTTGTGTTGTTTTAGATATTTTCGCAATTTCAGAATAAGATGAGGAGGTAGAGTAACTTTGTTCTATTGACTTAAAGGCTACGAGTCGTTATAAACCAGGGGATAACCCTCGGTGTCTATCAAAATATATGGAAGAGGTCTGTCGGCATATCCGGGTAATCAATACTCTCAATTTACGGCGCTCTGTCGTATCAAGGATTTGGGTCATCTACATCTTCATTGTATCTAACTACAGGTGTGATTGTGTACAGTTTTGCGTGCACGAACCACACTTACGCGAATGGTAAACCAACAAGGTCAATATATTTAGAACTATTATATGAAAGCTTACAAGATGGCTTTAGATTCTTAAAAGCCAGAGGTTAAATGGTGACTTCATCTCTAATCGCATAACTATTGTACTTTTAAGCATTATTTACTTGAATTTGGTCATTATTAATCATGTACAATTTGTACTAGAATTTTCTTTCCATCACGAATTTATTTTCACGCCAATAAGCCATCTTATTGATTGGCCTTAACTTACGTATACTTGAGTTTAGTTCAATGCAAAATGAAAGGTACTAAGTTGAGGTCTGTATTATGTCTTATTTTCTCTTTCCAAGAAAATTATGAACCTAGAGTTTGTTGTATTCGCTGAGTCATCAAGACAATGACCCAGCAAGGGATGTGTGCAACGCACATAGTTCACACCAAGTATATAATACTTTCCGACACATCTAGATGTAAAAACAAATAATTTTTGAAAAGTTTTGTTTTTCCCTCTTAATTATCAGTGATGTAGTTGAGAATTTGACTCGATTCCAGGAGTTCATGAAAGAAAGTTCACTGAAACACAAACATATAAATTCGTCGGGGACGCAAGTAAAGTCTGCTAAGTCGCTTATCCCATGCATCGAACATAAAAGACAATTCATTAACTTTCATGCTAGTTTTCTAGATTCGTCTCTTTGAATACTGGGATCGGGGTTCCATGGGTATTCTTTGCTCTGTACCCAACAGACAGCAGGATGAAGCACACTATTTGCGATTTAATGAAGATAATACAGTCGTGCTGCTGAAGTAGCTCGTTCTCTCATGCAGCGGTGAATGGATCTCCATAACGCAGATGAGAGCTGTCAACAAATTTAGAAGTCTCGTAGCCACTTATCATCACTCATGAACCATGTACCTAAAACACTGGTACTGATACCTGGTCAGCTTCTCCAAATCAATTATCTCACAAAGATTGCGACGAAGTTTAAATAGTAGATTTAATGCATTTTCAGCGAGTAAAATATCAATCGAAAAGGCGATTGGCACCGACTACTTCTCCGTGCTAAGGTTATCACCAATAGTACTCCACAAGACATGGAAATTGGCATGTTTTACTTGACATGAAATAATTTGACAATACAGTCGAAGCTAAGGTCTATGGGTCACCTGGTGCTTTCTCGCCGCGAAATTTAGTTCGATCGAAACGCTGCTCAACATGCAAATGTAGCACGGCAAATATAATGGCAGGGATCATTCTAGCGGCCGTTCAATTCATGTAGCGCCTCACAAACGGATCCACAATGGTCGTTATCATGATCTGCATTATCAATTTCGGTATGGAATTATTTTGAGAATACAGCGACAGATTTCCCTGGATCACGATGTATTATGTTTACGCCAGTGACCAGTTCAGATGATTACACATGAATATACCCACCAGCTATTCACTTTAAAAAACCAACTACACTCGCATCCTCGTCACCACTCATCGCACTCCACAATCCTATCTTACCCGTCTCGTCCGTCATCAGCAAAATATTTCGCAAAATATCTTTAATCACGGATGATGTGCAACACCTTGACCATAATTCTCTAGATGAAGTAACTTGCGTCTTCCAAAGGCATTGCGCACTTTACAAAATTAAAAATTTTGAATCAAGCCTCATCAAGACTATAGACCTAAAAGCTATACTTGACCCATTGAATTCCCTTTTTAGTTCGCTTGCTTTGTATGCTCAAGACCAACCTGTTCCGTCGTCTGCAAACAAAAAAATAGACGCCAGGATAAAATCATTCAAAAAATGGATCAACTTGAAATCAATTGACCTCAAACATTTAAAACCGCTTGATACTTTCCAAAGCTACCAATACTGAGATCTGGTTCGAGTTAATCAGCGTCCTTGATGTATTTGGACCTCAGTCAACTCCCGAAACATTCAATCCATCTCTGAGCTACCCTTATGTTTGTCATCGGCAGACGCCTGCCCTATATCAAGGTAAAGATCCGAAAGTGGACATCTCGAAAGAAGCACTTCGGACCGAGTTGAACGGAACCATTTTCGAGGATGTCGGCGGCTTATACGAGAAGTATTTCGAGATGATACCGTGGGCCAATCAATGTCGAGCGATTGCAGAGAGCTTTGTGAACAGAAATTTCAAAGCGCGGTCCAAGTTTCCGAAGAAGCCCACGGAATCTAAGATTTGGAGATGGGCTCATAGAATTCAGGCCGAGTTCGTTGAATCCTACAAAGCTCCCACGATGACGCCAAGCGACAAACCAGCGTCTTCCAAAAAGCAAAATACCTTCCCACTACGTTCAAACAAGTCCCGAACCACGTCGGCATGGCAATTCGAAGGAAGCGAGTCTCCCAGATAGATGGACTTTTTCTTCAAGAGCCGCAAACATGCACTGGGTATTTCCCACGATTGGCGCGATGTTCTAGTTCTGGGAAAGTTGACTTCGTCATCTTTTGGAGTGTGGAAGAGCAAATTCCTCCAACAATCGGTTTACATGAGGGAGGGTTTCATAGCGTAGACCTTGTATCGGTTTATTCCTGGATAAATTTTGTTCGGATCAAAGTTGCAGCTGTGGGTTTTCGATCGATCGGGACCCATGTCTACCGGCTTCATCGACATCGGCGAGAATCCAGAGAAGCTGATTTATGTGGTTACTGCGTATATACTGATGAGCGACGATGAACTTGATCTTGACTCGAACTTTATCCAGGAGCACGACTGGACCCCGATCAAGGTCAAGGACTCAGAAACCGACAAGTGGTTGATGCTGACACTCGAACCTTTCCCATTTATCGTTCAGCGATCGATCGTCTCGCATGGCACGACAGTCTATCGTGGTCTGTACGGAATTTTTGAGTTGAATATCTCGTTGCAGGCGGTGGGACGGGTGTCAGAGGTCGAACTTCTTGGGAAAACTCGCAGTATTCGTGGAGCGGCAACGTTGATTGGATCATTTAACATGGGAAAGATCAGTGAGCTACGCGACGGCCTTACGTCCACGAAGGCAATGCAAAGAGAGATACAACCCGACGAGGAATCAATGACCACGCCCCACGACTTACTGCAACCAGAGGCATCCAATCAGGAAGGAGGCTTTCAGTCAAGCGCAAAAGTGCGTCGGGTGCTGGTGATTCACGTCAGAGCAAAAGTTCATGCGTATTGAGTATTTCAAGGCAAGCCCGAACCAATGCAGCATTAGCAAGTGTTCGAAAAGCCGCACCCTCGGCTAGGAAGCGAGGTAAGTCTGTGTTGATTGTTTTTATTTTATGATTCAAGATAGGATACTAACGCTAGATATCGTGTTTTAGCTCCTGGTAAGCTTACTGCATCGAAGAACCTAACTCCAACAAGTAAGCAAAGCTCGAACCAAGAATCAACCTCCTCTAGATCGAAAAGAAGTAGAAATGACGGCGAAATGGATGTGGACACCCGGAAACTACCGGAACGTGAACTTGAGAAACTCCGCCTAACGAGTAGTACTGGGAAAGCCTTGCTAGAAGCCAGTGTCGGCTCTCTAGGAGCGTCGGTCACCATAGATCCCATCGCTTTAGATGTCCCAGATGTGGTAGTTGTCGACGTGAATGCTTCTCTCAACATCTCCAATTTCTCCACAACCGAATCTTCATTGTTTTACCGAGATAGGTTGCAATCGATAATCGCATCGAAGCCTTCTGGTCGAGCAATTTGAGAGGATATATCACCGTTGGACTTGCTTTGTGGACTACGCGATGCAATCATTGGTCATCGATCACTGTTTTCGGATGCCCGGATTTTGTACCGTGATTTCTCGGCGAATAATATCATACTGACGGATCCAAAGTCGAATAATGGTTGCTCTGGGGTGCTGATAGACTTGGATCTCGCAATATAGTTGGATGACCCCTATGCTGCGGCCAGCTCCCATATCATGACTGGTACGTCGGAGTTCATGGCACACGGCATCTTGAGGGCGAATTTGACTCGAACAAGTGCAGGCATCAAGTACTCGTATAGTCATTATCTAGAATCATTTTTCTTCGTACTTGTGTCTACGTGAATTCGCTTTGGCTGGGGCGATGAAAAGGCTACTTACCTAGGACTGCTTGGGACGTGGTACAAGGGTACATTACAATCTACTTACAACGCCAAATTTACAGTGATACATCTAGATTCACTTGAAAGCAACGTATTGAGCAGATTCTCGGCCAAATTCCAATGCTTGGAATATGTAGCCAAGAAAATGCGGGCGTCGCTGTTCGACAGAGGTTGTGGGTTTTATTTGGGTGAAGATCATTATCCGGAAACAATCTACAATCCCATACTTCTAGATTTTGATTTGGAAATTGCTAAGATCAAATGTTGGTTTTGTCAATTTCTAGAATACTACTATATTTAATTGGAATTTACATTCGCTAACACGATTGACCATAGAAGAGACTGAGAAATAAAATGATTGATATGTGCATGAGATTGATATTTTAACGAAAAAGTAACTGAAACTCTAGCAATATGAATAGCATCAAACTTGTCAAGACTGGACTGAAACGGAGATGAGTAGTATCAGTTTCAAGGCAAGTATTGGCTACGCTCTTGAAAGTGGATTTCATAAACCAGTCAACGAAATGAATTGACTGTTATAAATACGTAGATGATAAATCAGTCGAGTATTATAAGGCACTGAGAGTCAAATTAGAGATGCACAGTAAAAGTGTGTTGATGAAATCTTTGCTCCTCTGATCCTCTCCGGCCTGGGTGCTTTATACCCATTTAAAACTCTTTTCCGGAGAGAATATCTTCTCGTTTCCCAAAATTACATATGAACTAAATTACATGCGTTGGACATCAAAAGATCCGTAGTTGGAGCTTTGGACATCCTGATCACCATATCCCTGGTAAGATATCAAAGCTCGATTGAGTCAATCCGAGAGGATGTGCTACCCCCATACCCAGATGATCCTTATTCCTAGATTCAGTAGGTTCCAAACTATAAATTGTTTGACACGTGTCCAAATCGAATATCTCAATTTCATTTGATTTTGATATATGGTCCAATAGATCGAGCATGTTATTTGGACAATCGCCGCACAACGTTCCACGAACGCTGTTACATATTCACTTTTATTTTAGTCATTCTCTCCACATCAACTAACCTCATCCAGAGAATTTTAAAACTCGCCAGGAAAGTGGCGGTGTTTATGGTGTCGTCTGCTATTCCGCCAACGAAATTGTATGATGCAAGATGCTTTAGTCGAAAGGTTCTTTTCCAAAAGTCGAAATCTAATGCCTTCTGAGACTGTATCCATAACCAATACCATCTTGCTCGTCTATTTTACTTCTTCTCATTTCCATCCCGAAAATTTGCATATAAATTTTATGCGTCGAGATTCTGTTCTTCCCTCGGGTATATATTTCAATATGAGCATGAATTTAGGGATAACTTGGTGCCAGAGACTGACTTAACAAGTGGTTTGATCATAGATCTGAGGATGTACTAAGTCGTCCTTGTAATCATGATGAATCTTTGGTGGGAGACCGTCTTTTTGAGCATGCGAGATCGATTAGGCGTGAAGGCTTGACTTATTACCACGCTTCCCAACCTCTTTTCTATTGGGAATTTCAACTGAACATTTCTCTGCGAAAAAAATCCTTCCAGACTTGTAGACACAGCGAACTATTGTTTACTCCTTACCTCCCTACCAAAATTTCAACTAAATAAAAGGGAATAAAATTTATATTACGTCCTTTCTACTATGAAAGTATATATTCCTATATAATCACTAATACAGTTTCTATGTACAGGTTAATGTAGGCGAAAGACCACAGTATTTAGGGAAAACCCTAAAAAAGTAAAACCCATCGTACTGCCACTTTGGTACGCCCTAGCTCCATGTCCATGGCGTCAGCCTAATCTGTCATTTTTGAAATATCCACTATTTCCGTTACCTCCTCCATCGAGGAAGAGTGGTCTCAATTTAAGTCCAGAGTTTTAGTGAGTTCTGGTCACTCATGATCAATCTGATTAGCAAATTTAAATTGCTACATGTCGTTAATAGCAATCAGCAGACAAGCTGCGGCTCGGCATGCCCGTGGGCTAAGCTATATGTTGTCAATAAAAGCACAACAACAAATCTGATAAGGATAAAGTCATGTGATAAAAGTGAGAGAGCTTTAAAGCTACGCAACCAATTTTCCTCTTTACTAATTTTATTTCTTTGCTTTGTATTCTCCATGGAATAATATTTGCAAATCATGAAAGACAACGAGAGGCTGATATTCATGTTAAATTAAGTATTCGAGCACAGGATAATATGATTCTAATTTTCATTTGCTATGTTGGGTCTATGTAGGCGCCAACACGTCGGGTAGTTTTATATAGACTGGGCTAACCGGTACATGAGGAGCTCACGTGCTGTGCGCGGACACGACGTTAAATATTGTAAATAAACAAATATATTGTCAAAGTCAATGGTGTTGGCGTCAAGAAACATGCGACTCGGAAGCGCTGAATGATCGGCATTGTGAAAGAGGATATGTTTAACTGTCTGGAGATCCCCACCACAAGTACAATTTAGTGAAAAGTCAGGGACCTTAACATAGGCAAGCTATGCAATGAGACCAATAACTTTGGAATGAAGTAGCATCAGAGCAGTTGACTCATGTTTTTAGTTCATCGTGTAATTTCAATACTGACTGCGTCCACGGTGTATTAAATGTTGCCGCTCTACGAGAGCCTTCAGCATGTGCCCAATGTAGGTTCCATTTCTCATTGGCCTAGGTTTTCAGTGCTGCTTTGAAGTTCAAAAAAGTAAGATAACTACTATGTTAACGTTGCTGCTGCCTCTATGGCTGAGTACGATTTTCTTTCCACATCACATCATTTAGCGTGGTTTCCATTTTGTCAATTATCTCTCTTTTGCCACATTCCGAACAACATCCATGGCTGTCAATTTTCTTAGCATATTCATCCCTCGACCATTCACTGGGCGAGTACCATGCTATGGTGTGTAAAATATTCCAGCATCCTTGAAGTGACAGGCTTATCCTTTGTTTTAACACTATTTTGGAGCTAATTAAGTGATTTGTTTGTTGTACTACTTGAGTCATAGTCTATCTAGCACATTGGGCTTTTCTCTGACCCAGGCCACACCCTATACGTGCTCCTTGCCTCTTTCGTTACTTGAAAGATCATTGATATATTCCCCGTGATGAATAGCCATTCAGCTCAGTGTTTACCCATGGAATTCGGCCATCTTTTTTATGGAACCTTCTACCCAAAAAAACAAAATGGTAGCAATGGAGACTGCATGCGCGGGGAAGAGTTTCAATAAACCTGCAGTTCCAGCCAGGCGAGGCCTAGACACCGGGACCACATGAGGTGCGCATATTCATCTATATCTCCCTTCATTGTAACAGTCGAGGCCGACTTGATCCAATCCACCATCTCCGTATCGGGTGCTGGGTACGCTCCGGAAACTTATCGGATGGCTTCTCCTCCATTATCAAGGGTTGGTGATGATTAGGGCCGGAGCCCTACCATCTGATCTGATCGTGTTTGGCTTCATGATAATGGTATTAGGGAAATGTGTTGAGAGATGAGGACGATACAGACCGCGGAAGCGATTGGGAATCCTCGTCGAAGTGAGGACTTTATTACTCAATCTCGGCTCTGCAGACTCTACAGTGAGAGCTGGAGGTTCGTAGGGGACACCACTGATAGGTGTTGAAAATAGTCCCCCATATCGGAGCTAACTGGCGCGCGTGTGGAGGTCAAGCGACTCTACAGTAGCTTCCATTTCAAGAACAATTTTAGAGGTGCATTTGGTGACCAGCCGAAGCCAGAGAAAGTCGACGAGAGGTGTGATCATTGAAATGATGATGTACTAGGTCGTACTTGTAGGCTTGATGAGACTCAGTTAGGGGCTGATCTCGTTGGGAGTAAAAATTTGACATGGATTATTTTGCATCATTTCCTCGTGGACCAACTTGTTCGTAATTGCGAAATTTGACTGAACTTGGCTCTGGAAGGATATTTCACTCCCAGGTTCGTTGAGGACACCGCGTAAAGTATTTGTCCATAGGGGTTGTAAGTAGAAAAACGGTAAGGGGCAAGGGGGTCTTAATCAAGACTGCACTAAGCGCCAGTAAAAATATCTCGGCCAGGGTACGCGTGTAAGACAAAATTCTTGTGGGCTGAAGGCTTTCTCGAATCAAACTCTCCATTCCAGTCCCAGCCTAGATTTCACAAATGAGCTGGCTACACAAGAAAGCCAAGAACACCCATCCATCGGTAGTACATTTACAAGTCTTCGTTCAAGTCAAAGGCCGAGGATTAGCTATTGGCAGCACCAGGACGCAGACTCATTCGCTTCTACCATGCCACCAGCCCCGTGCTAGTATGGGTTAATCCATCCATTTACTCCGTATTCCTGTCTATCCCAGCCTTATTGTGAGATCTCGTGACGCCCATGCACGGATCGAGGTTTGTTGGTTTCATTACCATCAGCCTCGTCTGACTGCCAATCATGCTCTCCATGCGATGCCAAATAATTTCTAATACAGATGGGACACTATACCTCCGTACCATGTGAGCTCTCTGAACTGTGCTTCAGAAATAACGACATCAAATACATCTGTGAGCCCTCTAAAATTATTCGAAATCATGTCTCGCTCCAGTTGAGCAAATAATGATACTGGCCATAAGGCATCACAGCTACGGCGTCTCTATTTCCCAAAATTAAACCGTATTGCTGGAGTCAACGGCGCCCTAATTGAAACCGAATCATTCCCAAAAACTGCCTCCAAATGTACAAACATAGCTACCTGTTGATATCAAGCTTCTTATTTAGTCTTTATTTTTTGAATCGATTCTCTATTTCCTGCCACTGCCATATTATTTGAACTTTAAGCTGCTATACAATTATATCAACTGAATAGCTTACGCTAGGATGGATCCGAATCACTCTCGGAAGAAGCAGCGACTCACGCTGGCTCAATTAGCAGCTTACGATGATATTCTGACGGACGCACTCATCGATCATGTAAATCACTAAGGAATCCCACATTACGCTCAGATTCATTAAAGCTAATCATCGCTGAAGGTATACTTTTGGACGAATATACGAAAAAATAAAAGTGCATACCTCTCCTCGCGTGGTATAAAAGAGGAAGAAATCGCATCTATCTTGCAAAAACGTGTCATACTAGAGCAAAACCTAGCCAAGGCGGAAGCAGAGCTGCTTAGCTTGTCTGGTCTTCGGAAATTTATAGATAACTTGAAGACTGAAAAAGAGAAGCTAGACTTCACGCGACACCTACATCGTTATGTACAGATATACCTACCAGACTGTCCATGGGAAGTTTCCACCACCAATAGGTACACTATCGTTACCCAGGAGGCAGCTGTAACAGCGAGGGCCTTCATTAAGAGTAAGCAGAAAATCAAATACCTTTGTGGCATTCAGGTATTCATCACCAAGGAAGAGCTCGAGTTAACTCAAAAAAACCGACGCGATTTTAGTATCGTATTCTCCAGTCGTAAAAAAGCATCATCTCTATTTTTAGGTCCAGCACGATTCGCGAATCATGATTGTTACCCAAATGCTCGCCTTTCGACATGCGAGGCTGATGGCATGGAGATCATTGCTGTCAGGGACATTGAGATTGGAGAGGAAGTAACTGTGAAATACGGTACTTTTTCGACTGGAAAGAACCATAATTTTAGTAACTAACCCCTATCTTAGGTGAAGATTATTTTGGCGACGATAATCGCGAGTGCTTATGTCGAAGTTGCGAGATTAAGGGCAAAAACGGCTGGTCTCATGCTAACATAAATGAGAACCCAACAGTTGCTGAACCCTCTATTCAGAAATCTTCAAGGTATATTTTCCGCTCCAGTCGACATAATTCGTTTCATGAAGAAAAATCCGAAAGACCTAGGCCAAGTCACGTAGTGAAACCTTTGGTTTTGGATACAATGCTCGAATCATCAAGTATATCAGCCCTCGAGTCTTCTTTAGTTGGCGAATTTTCGATACCCTCATCAGGGCGAAAAAATAAAATTAATGATGAAGAACCATCACCAGTCGTGCAAAAAAAATTACGATCCAAACATATTACAACATGCGAAACATTCAAGGAAATTCCCACCCTTGTAAATATTGGACAGTCCCCTTCTTACTCGTCTTCTTTGTCCACTTCCTGTAGTGATATATATTCGATGGACGGTAGCCATGCAAGTACGGATGCGACTTCTGTTGACGAAGATTCAGCTACTATACAAGATTCCAGAGCTGACCTAACTATCTCTTGGTCACTTAGGAGCAGACGCATTTTCACAATTGTTGCTAAGCCTAAAGAAAATCTCGCTAATGCTTGCCACAATCGTGAAAATCAATCATCGAGCACTGATGGCAGGTTTACAGACATTTTGGAAGATTCGAACAAATCACGTGATTTTGGGATTTCAGACAACTCGGCTAAAAAATCAAGTCCCAAAGCTAGCCGAAAATTGAAGGAGACTCTGCGGGCACCTAAACAAACTTGTGTCGCGAACACAGGAAGTTCTAAACAAGGATTTCGCGTTCCAGGAGACTACCACCTCACACCTCTTCTCATAGTAGACCTCGCAAGCGACTGGATTAGATGCCAGAACTGCGAGGAGTTCTTCGTACAGACAGATGCCTACACCCCACGATTTGCGTGCCCGCGCTGCGAGCGGCATAGTAAACTTTACGGTTATAGATGGCCGAAATCTGAGAGGGAAAACAGCGATGATGAGGAAGAGCGCGTTCTGGATCACAGAACCATCCAGAGATTTGCAAACTCAACAGAATCTAGAGCAGTCAAAAAATGGAGCCAGAGGCCGACGATGTTGCATGACAGTAGGTCAACACGTGAGGATATCTTCGAAAACCCGAATAAACTATCAAAAGGTTGCCGAATGACAAGGTCATCCAAGCTTAGGTGCACAATATGAAGAAGCAAAATAATTAGTAGATATGTAAATAATAAAAAGTAGGCGCCTTGGTATTTCGAATACTGCGTAATATAAATCTGATATTCAGCTGGAACTGGAAGGAAATCGCGAAAAATCAACAAAAACTATGGACCTGATAAACATGTGGAGGAAACACAACATAATGTTAAACGACGATTTTTTCTGCGTTGCATTAATTTCGAGCACATCATGTAATTCGGGCTTGAAGCTAATCAGTATCTCGGACTGGATTTGCCTGTCCAATCCGCTCAATTTAAAAAACCAAGAAGCTAGTTCAAAGGTTTTACAGGGATTAGCTTTCTAGTATTAACGCTAGAGTAATGAAACTAGGCCATCTCATAAAAGTCCAGGTCTTATTCTAAGCGGCTATCTATCTATGTAGGAATAACTTGGAAGTCGATGTTCGCGGTTTTATAGCTAAAATCGCCTCCCGATGCTGGCATCAAATTGGCATTGGCTCCAAAATTTCTTTGCCATCATTTTCAGTCTTAATAGATCAGTCTAACTTGGGATAGAAAGATCGTATGAAGGGACTTCATATTTATTGTTCACAATATTGGATGCAAATTTAATTTATATTTTATCTAAGGAGGAGAATAAAAACGACGCGCGCGCGAGATTATTTGTTTATATCGAGCGCGCTTTCCCGTGACACTAGCGCGCTCTTGTTCATAGTCGGAGCCGGATAGTTCCAGATCCACATACAAGGCTACAGCTTGTAACTGATCGACAGATTAAATAGACAAGAGAGATAGTTTATAACAGCCACGATAACGACTCGGGACACAGCCTATCCAATGCTGAAGCCAAGTGAATAGATGTACCTTAAAGTAGGGTTTTAAAGTTATGTCACATATCTGTACAATAATATTAATTTTAATGCCATGGTGTGAGGACACTGGGATGAATGCTCTTGAACATGTATGAAAAATATTCATGAATAGCTTTGATGCGAATGTCTTTTATATCGGACACAAGCAAATGAGAAATAAAAGGTACTTAAATCGCTCGTCTGGCTTGATGCCATGTATGGCACTGCAACCTCAAGGAAAAGGTGAATCAATATAGAACCGATTTACATTGGTGATAAGATTTAGGCCTTACAAAGCTCCTTTCCACGTAAGTGAGTCCCATTAAACAACTTTTCTCTATAAGCGTAACATTCTCCCTTACACCTGCACAAGACTTTATCAGTGATTTAGTTAATCATATTATAACTCCTTGTCTAGGGGTAATATTTCACCTACTGAAGTAAACTAAGCTAATCAGGCCACCTGACCTTCCTATTAGTACATAGATTTCATCCGTGACCGTAGGACTCTCCAGTCAATGTTTACAACGTAATACCGTGTCCCACGTATCTTTCTAAAGACTCCTCCTTCACTTGATTGATTGTCCATATTGTGAAATACTTACGTTAATCGATGAGCATTGGCCCACACGTGATTAGCAGTTTAACTCAGGCTCAATGTATATTATTCAAGACCCAACATTGGACTACCACCGACGGTTTCAGCATGAAATCACCATTCTAACCTGCACGTGCGGAGAAGAGAAGTCCCCTAACCACTTTTTCTATTGCCACCTCGGGCATTACCAAGCTCAGCTCCACAGGGCATAGAACTCTAATCCCAGCGTATCCTGGGCACTTGCTTCGGCGGAGGGAGTTGATGCATTCCATAATTGGGTGCGTGTGACAGATTTCTTCGAAAGGGCACAACGAACAGTCTGATGCGAACGAAATCACGATTTGATGAAAACAATTTCTTCCTTTCGTATTTTTGTAAAATCTTTCCTTGATTTAGTACCAACGGCATAGCATGAGATTCGTTGGACGGACGACCTTCATGTACACTATAATCTTCGAGCGTAGGATGATGAGATCCTAGCTATTGTTTGCTTTGGTGGGTCTGTGAGGGCGCCAACACGTCGGGTAGTTTAATTTAGACTGGGCTAACCGGTACGTGAGGAACTCACGTGCTGTGCGCGGGCACCACGTTAAATATTATAAATAAGTAAAGACCCAACATTATACTCACCAGTGCATGCTCTTTTTCAATAAAAAAATGTAATCGAGCACATTGGACACTGAGAGTAATGTAGCTAATTAAAATCTATCCACAGCGCTGGAAGTTGAGACACAGAGCGTTTTGAACGTATGGGCCCTCCATCTCGTCTGGGTTCCCGACAAAATCTTGTGTGCAGTATAGGAGTTGGAATATTTGATGAGGTATCGCGTCAGGCGCCTAATGGATCAACGAGCGGCTCTACGGCGTGGGCACGATAAGTTTATTGAGTTTCATTGATGACGAGATGGCGCGACAATAGTTTGTGTTGTGGTTTAGGCTCTGTGTCGCTGACGATTGCCCTCACACCGCACATCACCCACCCATTTAGCAATCTAAACCTGGCACTCTTCTAGTGAGCCTCTTCGCTCCCCGACTTATTGCGCCCATTTCATTGCGCGACATCTCCTACACACATCGGTCCAAACATGGTCGCTCTCGTCTTCTTTTTTGAATTATTTCAGAGCACTGAAATTCGTACAGTAGACGACACAAAGAACTGCGAGTCTGTGATGAGAACCTGAAATGGTGTGGCAAAGTTTGAGTTATCCAATTCCTTGGAACGATTTGCACCTTTAGTACCAGTCCTCGATAAAAATTCCAATAATTGCGTCTGTCAAGGAGGCCACGTTGTTGATACACACGTGACTACAAATTCTGTACTTGGTTTCTCTTCCGTAGTTACTTGGATAAATGCGCTCTACAACCTCAGCGACTGAGGGCTCATTATTAACCTAATAGTCTTATTGAGATAGGCATTCGTAGTAATTCATGAGCGGAACGTCTCAAGCACGTGGACTTGGAGCCAAGTTATTGAAGTTGATGGACGTTGGGTAAAATCTTTGGTAAAGCTAGAATCTCCTACTGCCTGCTTCGAGATACAAAGTCCAGCTGTCTATTGAGTGCTTAATCTCTTGGATTCGTCCTGTCTGCGCTAGACCGGCAGGGATGGAGTCTGGATCATAGGCAGCTATATATATATATATATACATAATTCATTATCCTGATTTGGCGCCTTGAAGCCCATGCAGGTTTTATGGGAAGATATGTACTTTAAGTAGGATGACTAAATCTGACGTTTAGTACACTCACACTCAGATTTCATTTGCAGATACCACTCGGGGTCAACCCTTACGGCGTATAACCTCTTCCGTGCATACCCACCACAGGGAAAAGCGTGAAAACCCTCTGGCTATCCAAGTGTGCTTTCATCATCCCACAAGTACGATATCACCGCGAGAGAGAGTAGTGTGGGTTTTACCGGATTTGAACCAGCCTTCTTCTGTCTCGAATGGGGTAGGTGTTCAAGCTACTCAGTATCTACTTGGGTGAACAGCCCGGATGATGTACCACCGCACCATCCAACCCCTTAGGCAGCTATAGCGACGACCAATAATGCAGTCTGGACACGGTTGCTTGGCAACAGAGTTTATCATGATCGGCCTCGGTAATTATAATGCTATATTTATACAGCGAAAATTAAGCCGCCCCTGCCTTCGATAAATACCGAGATTCATTCTGGCCTTGCTACGATTAATGCTGCACCAGTTGATACGATGACAGGGTCAACATCTAATCGAGTACGAAGTCAAATTTAAGGGAACCTGTTCGAAGTATGTAAGTCGCAGTAGGGGGGCGGTGGTAATAGAAAGACTGTGCTGCAGATCGAGTATGAAAGCTGTGAACATATTGTAGAGATAGGAAATATATATTTTGTCTCCGGTGAACTGTGAGGAGAACTTCTCAAGTATTTGTATACTCATGTTCGCGCCTTCTTCGACCCTTTATCCCAGGTGTTATTGCTTCTCATTATTCCCAATATTTTCAATGACTTCTCGTCCCGTCTCCAAATTACTTGCGTTTGATCAATTTTTACCGAACTGTCTGAGTCTATGACCATGTAGGACATGTTGATGCTTGTGTTTGTTGAAGTTGGTGCTACTTGGCAAGGAAGACAGTCATTAATATGGAACGTAAAAGGTGCAAACCTTCATAGTCAGGTTCATGATTACTGAAACATGGATCAGCCAGTAAATCGTATCCTTACCTTAATGGTAATTACTAGTTTTATATGGCACTTTGATGCTAGATGAGTGAGTGAGCGTTTCTTGTCCTAATGAGTCTATGACTAAGTAAGGATATGTAAGTCCTTTCTGACTACAGGCCGGGAGTCTCTATACCTCCTTCAAAACTTCTTCCCCGCAGTGATACCCGTATAGGTCTTCATTCAAGAACACACTAAAAGAAGCCGTTATCCCGTCATTCTGATACATTATGACTTTAATCAACAACTCTCCACTTTTGTTTTCAGACTCTTCAATCTCTCAATCCGCTTCACTAGATGATATTAAACATAAGTCTAACAGCTTAAGCTTCTCTACCAATCTTCCATTATAACAGTATTGCTGTCCCAAAGCTTTCAAGCAGCCCCTAGTAGAGTCTTGCTTCGTTGCCAGAATATTCATACTCCTATCCCGGTAAATACTGACTATCTCTAGCATAATCTTGAGCACTTCACCGGAAAAATGTAGCGACTACACATATCCCAAAGACTCCTGAATTGTTCCCGTGTATGTAATGGGAAATCTAGCACTTTCTGCCCTGATCAGCGTAGACTAGAGAAATTATTCGGATTTTGATTTGATTTCAATATCCTGATTTGGCGCCAATGGACCCATGCAGGTGGCTATAAACCTATCTATATACTTACATAGGAGGAAACTTCTCGGTTAAAAACTTCCCGGCTTTCTGATTTATTTGTTGAAATCGGCAATTTATTCTTCAGGAAGCACAGTTACTCTGTAGCGCCGTCTGTGTGCAACAATCACGTCCCCTATATCGACCCCAACCTTGTGCCAGTCCTGTCTCGTTCCCTAATCAGCACTTTGACTGCATTTATCATGCGGAATTCTT